ATTGTATAGTTTCTTTTGGTATATCTTAAAATCTATTTTTGAAAAATAAACTTGGCTTGATAATCATTTGGGCAGCTTGGGTAAGTATGCAACTTACTTTTCCACCAAAGAACCGTCAGCAGCTGCCTGCTTTTCTGTGGTGTACCCTGTTGACTTTTCCAGAAATTATTATTTTTTTTTGAGACGGAGTTTCTCTCTTGTTACCCAGGCTGGAGGGCAATGGCGCGATCTCGGCTCACTGCAACCTCCACCTCCTGGGTTCAGGCAATTCTCCTGCCTCAGCCTCCTGAGTAGCTGGGATTACAGGCACGTGGCACCGTGCCCAGCTAATTTTTTGTATTTTTAGTAGAGACGGGGTTACCATGTTGACCAGGATGGTCTCGATCTCTTGACCTCGTGATCCACCTGCCTCGGCCTCCCAAAGTGCTGGGATTACAGGCTTGAGCCATCGCGCCCGGCCTTCCAGAAAATTTTTAAGAGTTTGAGTTAATATTGAAATTAATCAGACTTTCTGATTAAAGGTTATTTTTAAATAAAACATATCTGTCTGGTGTGGTATGAATTTCTGGAAAATAAAAGTGTGACCTGGTCTTATGCTGTGGAAATTCGGAAGGTGGATTAGTTCTCACATTTAACCTAGTTCTGCGTAGATATGAGTCATGTGGGAGCCTTCAGGTAGAATAAACATGTATTCTCAAATTTTCCACGTAATCTAGTTCTCGAGTTGCATTTTACTCGGTGAGTGGAGTGAAAATTGGAAGAGTCACAATTCACCTGGAAGATTTTGGCTTCTGTCCATGAAGGATTAAATGCTACAGAAATTGCCCTTCTGCCATAAACAACTAGAAAACCAGATAAGATATTTGAAACAACAGTGTTCAGACACTGCACAATAGAAAGTGCAGGAATGTAATCTTTGAGAAGGGACGGAAGCAGGGCAGCATTATCAGTGCTCTAGCTCCTTGTCTGGAAGGATCCCTGTCCTTCATTGACTGACACCCCATATCTTGAAAACCATTGTTTCATATTATTTACTCCGGTTCATTGTTGTTGCTGCTGCTGTTTCAGGTGAGAGGGTCATTCCAGTCCTTGTTACTTTTTTGTGGCTGTAAGCAAAAGTTCTAAAGGCTCCTCTAGACATTCCCTGATAAAGCTTTAAAAAAAAGCTTCAAAAAGATCCCGCTGATCTTCAAACGACTTAACAGCACGTTAGAACAAAGTCCAAAACTCTTTAAGACCATGACAAAACCTTCCAATGTGGATATCCTGGGAGGTCACTCTCCCCAGGCACTATCCAAGTGGCACAGGGAGCATAGGACTCTGCTCATAATATACAGTAGAATCACAAAGGCAAAGAAAACGAGAAACAGGATACTCAAGAATGACATTAAGAAGCTTCAAAAAATGCCAGGATAGGTGGCTCGTGTCTGTAATCCCAGCACTTTGGGAGGCCGAGGCAGGTGGATCACTTGAGGCCAGGAGTTTGAGACCAGCCTGGCCAACATGGCAAAACTCCATCTCTACTGAAAATATAAAAATTAGCTGGGCATGGTGGCATACACCTGTAGTCCCAGGTACTCGGGAGGCTGAGGCAGGAGAGTCACTTGAACTCGAGAAGCGGAGGTTGCAGTGAGCTGAGTGCACCACTGCACTCTAGCCTGGGTGACAGAGCAAGACTCCATCTCAAAACAAAACCAAAAAGAAGCTTCAAAAGGCAGGTCTCCTGATATCTTCTCCCGCAAAAGTACCTGCTGCTACAGTTCCAGCAAAAAAGATGACCACTGCAGGCAAGAAGGCTCTAGTCCAGAAGGTTCCAAAACCACAGGCTAGAGGCAGAGCCTCCTCTGAAAGCTCAGAAGATTCAAAAGCAACATGCCCAGAAAGCACATTGCCCAAAAGCAAATAGGAAGAAAGTCTAAGAGGCTATCATAAAAGTAGTAAAGGTTCTTTTTGACATGTTAAGGAAAAAACAGAGAGAGAGAGACTGGACTGCAACAAAATCTAGCATCCAACAACATAAAATTCACAATGTCTGGCAACCAAAACAAATTACCAGGCATGCAAAGAAACAGAAAAATAGAACCAACACCCAGGAGAAAAATCAACCAATAGAAACAGATCCAGAAGTGACAGGGAAATGGATTAAGTAAACAAGGAACTTTAAATAGCTATTACAAAATTTTAAAATATGTTCAACTATGCAAAGGAAAACGTGAGCATGATGAGAACGGAAATGAAAAACATGTTTTATTTTGTTTTCTTCAAGACAGGGTCTCACTCTGTTGCCCAGGCTGAAGTGCAGTATTGTGATCACAGCTCACTGCAGCCTCAACCTCTCAGGCTCAAGCCATCCTCCCACCTCAGCCTCCCAAGTTCTGGGACTATACAGGTGTATGCCACCACACCAAGCTAATTTTTTTGCTTTTTTGTAGAGACAGGATCTCCTTGTGTTGCCCAGTCTGATCTCGAACTCCTGGGCTCAAGTGGTCCTCCTGTCTCAGTTTCCCAAAGTGCTGGCATTATAGTCAGGAGCACGCCCAGCTAACCAGCATGTTAGAATAAAACCCAAAACTCTTTAAGAACATGAAAAAACTTTCCAATGTGGATATACTGGGAGTCACTCTCCCCAGGTGCTGTCCAAGTGGCATGGGGGAGCAATATATATATATATATATATATATATATATAAAGCACTAGAGACTTGGATTTTAACATAGATACTTCCACAGGCTGGCTGTATGACCCTAAACAATAGCTCTTCCCTTCCTGGGCTGATGACATCTGTTCTGATACTCTCGCCTTCCTTCTTTTCTCTCAATCTCTTTCTTATCCCCTAAGTTCTACATCCTAAATATCTCTTGAATCCATCCAGACGTATCTATCTCTGCTTCCCAATCACCTTTCCCCTAAACTATGGCAACTGTTTCCCAGCTCAATTCCCATCCTAACCTCCCCCAATACATTTCCTCCACAACATAGCTGGAGGGATTTTGCTAAAATGAAACAGGAATTACGCCTATTTTATGGCCCTTCACTGCCCTTAGGATAAAGTCCACAGTCCATATTGCAAAATAAAGGCCCTTCTCAGTCTGTTCCCCCTTTGCTTGCCCCAGAGCCTCTCCTGGAGCCATTCTTCCCTTCCCTCTTGGCTACCCCTGCCTTTTCATCTTGAGGCTTCTTACCTGTAATATTTCCCCAATGACTTCTTACTCAGTTAATACCTGATTCTTTTCTTTTCTTTTCTTTTCTTTTCTTTTCTTTCTTTCTTTCTTTCTTTCTTTCTTTCTTTCTTTCTTTCTTTCTTTCTTTCTTTCTTTCTCTCTCTCTCTCTTTCTTTCTTTCTCTCTCTCTCTCTTTCTTTCTTCCCTCCCTCCCTCCCTCCCTCCCTCCCTCCCTCCCTCCCTCCCTCCCTCCCTTCCTTCCTTCCTTCCTTCCTTCCTTCCTTCCTTCTTTCTTTCTTTTCTTTTTTTTTGAGATGAAGCCTCACTCTATCGTCCAGGCTAAAGGGCAGTGGCACAAATCTCGGTATTTCGGCTCACTGCAACCTCCGCCTCCCAGGTTCAAGCGGTTCTCCTGCCTCAGCCTCCCAAGTACTGTGCCACCACACCTGGCTAATTTTGTATTTTTAGTAGAGTTGGGGTTTCACCATGTTGGCCAGGCTGGTCTGAAATGCCTGACCTCAAATGATCTACCCACCTCAGCCTCCCAAAGTGCTGGGATTACAGGCATAAGCCACTGAGCCTGGCCCGATTCTTTCTTTTCTTTTCTTTTTCTTTCTTTCTTTCTTTCTTTTTTTTTTTTTTGAGACAGGGTCTCACTCTGTTGCCCAGGCTGGAGTGCAGTGCCATGATCCCAGCTCACTGCAACTTCCACCTCCCAAGTTCAAGCAATTCTCCTACCTCAGCCTCCTAAGTAGCTGGAACTACAGGTGCCTGCCACCACACCCAGCTAATTTTTGTATTTTTAGTAGAGACTGGGTTTCACCATGTTGGTCAGGCTTGTCTTGAACTCCTTACCTTATATGATTTACCCACCTCGGCCTTCCAAATTGCAAGGATTACAGGCATGAGCCATTATGCCTGGTCTTGATTCTTTTTTAAGTGCCCAGTTTAAACACCACTTTCTCAGGGAAGACTTCCCTGACCCCCATGTCCCTCTCCGTGACTCAGTTAGGAGTCACGTGACTCCTGCTATGCGCTCCCACATTTCTCTGATTTAATAGTCACAGCACTTCAATCCTACAATATTAACAAATGCTTAATTGTCTCCCCCAATCCTAACCTCTGTACCCCACGATATCCAGTGTTCAACCCAGTGCTCATTTCTAAAAAAGAATGAATGAATGTTTATCCCACATAACATATTCGAGCTCTGCTCCTTGCACTCCATCCCCAAAATCCTGTTCTAGGCCAAGTCCCTCACACCTGGATTTGTGAAACAGCCTCAGATCAGCCTCCCCGCCTGAGGATCTCCTTCATCTAATCCACCCTGCTCGCAGCAGCCAGAACAGCAAGAACCATTGTCCTCAAGCATAATTTTGATCATATCACTCCCCTTCTTAGCAGCCTACAATAGCTCCAATTGCCTCTTGAATTAAATTAAAACTCCTAATCATGGGCTTCAAGGGTCTCTACCAATTAGCTGCTTCCCTTCCCCCACACCTAACTGCAGTCATCTTTTCACAGCCCTCAAGCATGGCTTCCCTGCTGCCCTGCAAATCTGCTCCTAAGCCTGCCCCTACGGCATTCTCTCTTCCCTTTTCAGCTTTCTTCCCTGTCTTTCTTTCCCCAAATCATATCCCTCTCCCCACTTAAAAAATATCGCTCAATAATCATTTCCTTCATGAATACTTCCTAAGTCAACTTCATGTGGTTTTGTCCTTGCTATCACACCCTGTTATCAATCAAGTGCATAGAATATGTGTGTTTATTAAGGTGCTGTGAGTGTCCTGTGCCCTGCAGCTGCTGCTAAGTTACTGTTTATACCATCTGCCCTATTAGGGTCCAGCAACTCCAATGACAAGAATGATGCATTTTCATCACTTGTGACTTCCGGTGATTCTCAGGTGCAGCAGAGATAGAGAGATCTGAAAATGGGAATTTCCAAACAACTCTGTTTTCTGTAAGTTTTCCTAGACCAGACCTTGGGTCGGTCTGACCAGGTGCAGCCTCATCTTAGCAGCAGATTATTCTCAGCATTCTCATCATGGGGAATTTTACTGTGTGGGTGAGGAAGAGGGAAAATAGCACTTCTTCTTTTTTTTTTTTTTTTTTTGTGACCGAGTCTTGCTCTGTCACCCAGGCTGGAGTGTAGTGGCACTATCTCAGCTCACTGCAACCTCCACTTCCTGGATTCGAGCAGTTCTCCTGCCTCAGCCTCCCAAGTAGCTGGGATTACAGGCATGCGCCACCATGCCCGGCTAATTATTTTGTATTTTTAGGAGAGATAGGGTTTCACCACGTTGGCCAGGCTGGTTTCAAACTCCTGACCTCAAGCGATCTGCCCACCTCGACCTCCCAAAGTGCGGGGCTTACAGGCGTGAACCACTGCGCCCGGCCAACAATAACACTTCTGAGTGCCCACCTGTGCCAGATACTGTGCAAAGAGCTTTACCTGCAGCATTTCACTGATGCCACAGCAATCTGATGCATCAGGAATTATCATTCCTGATTTTAACTGCATTAGGAATCCAGGAGAATTTGTATCATCTGTCCTTGTCACTGAACAGATCTTTCTGGCTCTAAAAAACATATGTCAGGGAAGACATATTTCTTTTTTTTCTTTTTTGTTCTTTTAGTAGAGATGAGGTTTCACTATGTTGCCCAGGGTGGTCTCAAACCCCTGAGCTCAAGCACTCCTCCTGCCTCTGCCTCCCAAAGTGCTGGGATTATAGGCTCGACCCCTTGCACGCAGCCAGGGAGGACATGTTTCTGAACAAGTGGTCCTTCTGGCAGAATGTCCCAATTAGAAACCAAAATCGGGACAGGTGCTCTGACAGTGGTGCACAGGCCAGGTTAAGTCTGAATACAGGGGTCACTATGCCTGTGCCACAGGCTCTGCCGCCTGTTTGCTTGTCTAGCCCTTGTGGGATAAGACTCTTCCTATAAGTGATTACTTTAAAATTTTTAATTGAATATTCCCTTAAGAATTTGAAACACATGAAATTTATGAACAACACCAGGGTGTTTGCAGACCTAACACTCCTTCCTTAACTTCTATCAACTTCTTTCGAGCTGTGTCTGGAGCCCCTGGTTTACAGAGAGACCAACATGTTCTCCTTACATCTTTCCAATGTTACAGAATCCAGAATTTATCACAAGTATACTTTTGAGGACTCTACCAATATTAGTTATATTTCAAATGATGGGCTCTAACAGTCTTGAGTTATTTAAAGATGTAAAGCTTAGCTTAAAAATGGAGAGCTGGGCCGGGCGCGGTGACTCAAGCCTGTAATCCCAGCACTTTGGGAGGCCGAGTCGGGTGGATAACAAGGTCAAGAGATCAAGACCATCCTGGTCAACATGGTGAAACCCCGTCTCTACTAAAAATACAACAAATTAGCTGGGCACGGTGGTGCATGCCTGTAGTCCCAGCTACTCAGGAGGCTGAGGCAGGAGAATTGCCTGAACCCAGGAGGCGGAGGTTGCAGTGAGCCGAGATCGCGCCATTGCCCTCCAGCCTGGGTAACAAGAGCAAAACTCCGTCTCAAAAAAATAAATAAATAAATAAAATAAATGGAGACCTGGCCAGGTGCAGTGGCTGACACCTGTAGTTCCAGCACTTTGGAAGACTGAAGTGGGAGGGCCTGAGCCCAGGAGTTTAAAACTACCCTGGGCAACATAGTGAGACCCTATCTCTACAAAAATAAAAAATAAAAAAATTAGCTTGGGGTGGTGGCATGAGCCTATAGTACCAGCTACTCGGGAGGCTGAGACAGGAGAGTCGCTTGAACCCGGGAGGCAGAGGTTGCAGTGAGCTGAGATCGTAACACTGAACTCTAGCCTGGGTGACAGAGTGAGACTCTGTCTCAAAATAAAATAAAATAAGAGACCTAAGAGAAAACTTAGAGTCTGAAGAGGCATTAGACAAAGGGCTTCTTGAGAAAATAAATTTAATTATTCTTTCTTCTGGTTGTGCCCTTATTAACCTTTGGTCCCTGCTATTGGTTTAAATCACAACACCTTTATCCAGATCGACCTTCATCCTGATTGTAGATAACACTCTTACTCTATTTCAGCTTAACTTTTGGACGCACTGCAGTGGAGGCTGCTCTATTTACAAGATGAAGTACCTTTTCAAACAACAGTCACTTCATTTTCCAGGAAAACTCTTTGTAATTAAGAAAGAAAAAAAACAGGAAGGCCTTTTGAGGCTGAAGAGTGACATCTCTCGTGGAGAGATGGAAGAGCTTCGTATCAAGCCAGTTTTAACTGGGACAGGAGAGACCAAGCATCCATAGGTCCAGAGTGTCTGTGAACCCCCTTAAGTTGCATGTAAAATGTGGGGATGTGAAATATGCATTTATCTAGAAAATGGTATAGAGCTTTCATCAGGTTCTCAAATAATTCTTTGTTCTTTAAGGTCCACAAAATTGGACCTGTGCTTTCTCAAAGTGTTTGCGCTCACAAGAGTTCCTGTAGCACAATCACTAGAGAGCTTGTTAAAAACTCAGATTCCAGCCCAGGAGTGGTGGCTCACACCTGTAATCCCAGCACTTTGGGAGGCCCAGGCAGGTGAATCATGAGGTCAAGAGATTGAGACCATCCTGGCCCACATGGGGGAACCCCGTCTCTACCCAAAATACAAAAATTAGCTGGGCCTGGTGGCACGTGCTTGTAGTCCCAGCTACTCTGGAGGCTGAGGTGGAAGGATTACTTGAATCCAGGAGGTGGAGGTTGCAGTGAGCCGAGACTGCGCCACTGGGTTCCAGCCTGGCGACAGAACAAGACTACGTCTCAAAACAAAAACAAAAACACCCTCAGATTCCTGGCCAGGTGCAGTGGCTCACACCTGAAATTGCAGCACTTTGGGAGGCCAACCCTGGCAGATCACTTGAGGTCAGGAGTTCTAGACCAGCCCAGCCAACATATAGTGAAACTCCATCTCTACTAAAAATATAAAAATTGGTATGGCATAGTGGTGCATGCCTATAATCCCAGCTATTTGGGAGGTTGAGGCAGGAGAATTGCTTGAACCTGGAAGGCAGAGGATGCAGTGAGCCAAGATCTCCTCACTGTACTTCAGCCTTGGGCGACAAAGTGAGACTCTCTTTCAAAAAGAACAAATAAATAAATAAAAACACACCTCAGATTCCTGGGCCCTATACCAGATTTTCTGAATTAGTACCTCTAGGGATATGGTCGGGGATTCTAAATTTTTAAGTTTCCCTGGTGATTTGGTTAAATTTCTGCATTAAATAGGAAGTTCCAAATGTTTAACATCATCTGTTAGAATAAGATCAACAATTAATTATAGTGCAGGGAAGTGCTTACATTTACCCAAATAGGCCTGGTTCCAATCTCAACTCATGTAACCTTGTCAAATTATGAATCTCACTGATCCTTAATTGCCTCATCTATAAATATGGGCTAAATAACTTATCTGTCTTAAGATAATATTGCCGGCCGGGCATGGTGGCTCACACCTGTAATCTCAGCACTTTGGGAGGCCGAAGCGGGTGGATTATGAGGTCAAGAGATCGAGACCATCCTGGTAAACAAGGTGAAACCCTGTCTATACGAAAAATACAAAAATTAGCTGGGCATGGTGGTGCTCACCTGTAGTCCCAGCTACTCAGGAGGCTGAGGCAGGAGAATTGCTTGAACCCAGGAGGCGGAGGTTTCGGTGAGCCGAGATCCTGCCATTGCACTCCAGTCTGGGTAACAACAGCAAAACTCCATCTCAAAAAAAAAAAAAAAAAAAGATAATATTGCCTAATACATACCAGAAATCCAAAAATGTTATCTATTGTTCATAGCTTCTCTTAAACACTGGACATAACCCAGACTCTCCAGGTGCAATGTTTGTTTATTTTTTAAAGTGTTTTATGAGGCTTTTTGTTTGGTAAAGGTATTGGTCAAACAAAACAAAATAAAACAAAACAGCTTAATCATCTTCTACAATGAAACACCAGCCACATTTCAAGGGGTTTTATTATTCCATCAAATATATTTGAGTTGTATACTATAAACTAAAATTCTCTTTGTTTCAACCTAACAGAAAAATTAGCAATATTGGCCGGGCACAGTGGCTCACACCAGTAATCCCAGCACTTTGGGAGGCTGAGGTGGGCGGATCACAAGGTCAAGAGCTCGAGACTATCCTGGCCAACACAGTGAAACCCCATCTCTGCTAACATACAAAAAATTAACTGGGCATGGTGGCACATACCTGTAGTCTCACTGCACAGTGAACTGCACTCCAGCCTAAGCAACTGAGCGAAACTTCATCTCAAAAAAAAAGCAATATTAGCATTCTGTAGACTTGGGAACTAAGACCACTGGGAACTTAGAGCAATTTTAGCAAATGGAAAACAGATACCAGTATTCACCAACAGGGACAAAGTCTTGCATTACCCTATTGACAGTGTTGGAGTTTCGCTCTTGTTACCCAGGCTGGAGTGCAATGGCGCGATCTTGGCTCACCACAACCTCTGCCTCACCAAGAGATCGAGACCATCCTGGTCAAAATGGTGAAACCCTGTCTCTACTAAAGATACAAAAAATTAGCTGGGCATGGTGGCGTGTGCCTGTAATCCCAGCTACTCAGGAGGCTGAGGCAGGAGAATTGCCTGAACCCAGGAGGCGGAGGTTGCGGTGAGCCGAGATCATGCCATTGCACTCCAGCCTGGGTAACAAGAGTGAAACTCTGTCTCGAAAAAAAAAAAAAAGAAAGAAATTCTTATTTTTGTAAAACCAGCTGTAAAATTCTTTGTTTGGTGTGAACCCCTTCTCCTACCCCCATGAACATGTACTGGAATGTTGTGAGCAAATTCCTTCCCTCTGATGATTTTGCAGCTCTATTCTGCCAGGACTATAAGTTTTCTACTGTTGGAAAAGCACTTACAAATGTTCTTTTTTTTTTTGAGGCAGAGTTTCGTTCTTATTGCCCAGGCTGGAATGCAGTGGTGGTATCTTGGGTCATTGCAACCCCTACATTCCAGTTTCAAGTGATTCTCCTGCCTCAGCCTCCCACGTAGCTGGATTACAGGTGTGCACCACCATGCCTGGCTAATTTTTTTTAATTTTTAGTAGAGACAGGGTTTCACCATGTTGGCCAGGCTGGTCTCCAACTCCTGACCTCGTGATCTGCCTGCCTTGACCTCCCAAAGTGGTAGGATTACAGGTGTGAGCCACTGTCATTTTTTACATACTAAAGAAAATGTACCTTGGCTCAAGATGTAAGCAGTAAATCTAAAGGAAATATAATGCCTAAATAAACACCAATTCTAATTCATCTTTACAAAACATAGCTAAAGTTTCCATTTGTCTTTGTTTTTGTTATTTTAGTTTTTTAAAATTACAGATGGTGTCTTGCTTCATTGCCCAGGCTGTTCTTGGACTCCTGGGCTCAAGGAATCCTCCCACTTCTGCTTCCCAAAGTGCTGAGATTACAGGTGTGAGTCACCATACCAGTGATTTACATTTGATTATCTAAAGAATCTGATAATTTGTCTTTGGTGACTTTTTTGAGGTTAGACATTAATTCCAGTCACTGGTAGAAAATGTGTTTTTTTGGAGCATGAGAAATTGTGGCTCTGAGAACTGATATTCGAGAGGTAGAATACAGTGGTCTGCTTACCTTAAATTTATTGTCTAATAATTATGATTCCTTAAAACAAAAAATATTTGAGGCCGGGAGTGGTGGCCCACGGCTGTACTCCCAGCCTTTTGGGAGGCTGAGGTGAGCAGATCACCTGAGGTCAGGAGTTCCAGACCAGCCTGGCAAACATTGTGAGACCTGTCTCTACTAAAAATACAAAAAAATTTAAAATATGAACTGGGCATGATGGTGTAATTCCAGCTACTCGGGAGGTGGAGGTTGCAGTGAGCTGAGATTGTGCCATTGCACTCCAGCCTGGGCCACAGAGCAACACTCCACACCACCTCCCACACCCCCACAAAAAAAGTTTCATTGACTCCTGGTTTCAAGCAACCCTCCTGCCTGAGCCTCCCAAAGTGCTGGGATTACTTTGGTGCCCAACTCAGCTTATAATTCTTTTTTTTTTTTTATTTTGAGGCCGAGTCTCACTCTGTCACCCAGTCTGGAGTGCAGTGGCACAATCCCAGCTCACTGCAACCTCTGCCTCCCAGGTTCAAGTGATTCTCCTGCCTCAACCTCCCAAGTAGCTGGGATTATAGGCACCTGCCACCAAACCCAGCTAATTTTTGTATTTTTAGTAGAGATGGGGTTTCACCATGTTGGCCAGGATGGTCTCAATCTCCTGACCTTGTGATCCATCCACCTGGGCCTCCCAAAGTGCTGGGATTACAGGTGTGAGCCACCACGCCTGGTTTATGATTCTTAATTCTATTTACCAAAGTCTTCCTGAATAGGATAAACTCAGATTTTGTATTCCTTGATTGCCATCTGCTGGTAGTCCTCCATACTAGAAAATAAAAATTCCCAGGAAGACGGCAACAACCTGAATTGCTTGATTTAAGCAGTTCTTGCAAACTCAGAGAGAATATCTCCTTTTTTTCTTTTTCAATTTGGGTTGTTACCAAGAGAATATTTCTTAAAAATTTTTTTTCTTTTTATTTTGAGATCAGGTTATGAGACTAGCTAAGTTTTGTATTTCTGGTACAGATGGGGTTTCGTCATGTTGCCCAGGCTGATCTCAAACTCCTGGGCTCAAGCTATCCACCCGCGATGGCCTCCCACGATCCACCCACCTCGGCCTCCCATAGTGCTGGGATTACAGGCATGAGCCACCACACTGGCCAGAGAATATTTCTAATGCCCTCGATGATACAAGAGAGTCAAAGGCAAGGTGAAGAAGGGACGTTAGGTAATGATAACAATAGCAATTATGACAGCTAACTTCATTCAGTCAACAAATATTTATTGAGTATCTGCTATCCTGAATAGAGAAGTAAACAGGACAAAGTCTCTGTCTTCATGGAGATTTTAGGCAAACAAATCAATATGATATAAAGTACTAAGCATTACTCAGAAAAATAAACCAGGGCAGGGAGCTGGAAAGTGATGGCAGAAGGAGGCCACTGTTTTAGATAGAGAGGCTGGAGGTTGGGCATGGTGGCTCACGCCTATAATCCCAGCACTTCGGGTCACCTAAAGTAGTTCGGGCCGAGGTAGGTGGGTCACCTGAGGTCAGGAGTTTGAGACCAGCCTGGCCAACATGGTGAAACCCCATCTTTAAAAAAATAAAATAAAATAAAAGATAGAAAGGCCTTTAGGAAGTGACATTTGCAGGTACACTTGAACAAAGTGGATTTTGTTGAATATTTGTTTCTTCCTTTTTTTTTTTTAAGACAGGGTTTCACCATGTCGGCCAGGCTGGTCTTGAACTCCTGACCTCAGGTGATCTGCCTGCCTCAGCCTCCCAAAGTGCTGAGATTACAGGCGTGAGCCACCAACCTCGGCCCCCCCTCTTTTTTTTTTGATGGGGTCTCATTCTGTCATACATGCTGCAGAGGAATAGTGCAATCACTATTCACTGCAGCCTCGAACTCCTGGGCTCAAGAGATCCTCCCATCTCAACCTCCTGAGTAGCTGGGACTGTAGGCATGTGTCACCATACTTGGCTAATTTTTAAATTGTTTTTATAGAAACAATATCTCACTATATTGCCCAGGCTGGTCTCAAACACCTGGGCTCAAGCAATCCTCCCACTTCAGCCTCTGAAAGTGCTGGGATTGCAAGTGTGAGCCATTGTGCCAGCCCGAATATTTATTTATGCAGGCACTGAGTCAACAGCTTCCCATGCAGCATATCATGTAATCCTCTCAACAACCTATGAGGCAGATACTACTACTAGCCTCATTTACTGATAAGCAATTTGAAGAAGAGAAAGATGGAGCTGGTATTCAAACATAGGCGCTGTCCATTTATAACACTATAACTTTTCAAAGCTCTTTCATGCAAATGAAATAACATACGCAGAAATGTTTTGTGGATGATAAAGTACTACGAAAATGTAATTATCACTATCTTAATGTAATCTGATTTGACCTACATAGTGTCCCTGTAAAGGGGATGAAGTGTGTAATATTATAACATTTTGTAGACAATAAAACAAACACACACCATTGTAAAGTGCAAACTGACATGACTTGTCTAAGGTCACAAAGATAGTCAAAGGCATATTCAGAATTAGAGCTTATGTTTTTAAGGAGCATTATTTTAAGGATGTATACATTTATCTCTTGAGATGTTAAATTATTATACTCAGTATTTTTCTTGCCAAGCTTATTTAGAACTGCATTAATCATGGGAATTAAAAACAGTTTAGGGGCCAAGCGCAATGCCTGTAATCCCAGAACTTTGGGAGGCCAAAGTGGGTGGATTGTCTGAGGTCAGGAGTTCGAGACCAGCCTGGCCAAGGTGGTGAAACCCCATCTCTACTAAAAATACAAAAGAAAATTAGTTGGGCGTGGTGGCACATGCATGTAGTCCCAGCTGCTCAGGAGGCTGAGGCAGGAGAATCACTCGCAGGAGGTGGAGGTTGCAGTGAACCGAGATCTCACCACTACACTTCAGCCTGGACGACAGAGCAAGACTCAATCTCAAAAAAAAAAAAAACAAAACAGCTTAGGGTTCATAAATAAATCTTCAAAATATCCCTCCTGTATCTTCAATTCCACTCACTCCACATTTTCCTTCCTTCTCCTTCCCATCTTCTCCCCATTCCCTAACTCTCACAGACACTGACGCCCCATGCATACACACTCCAGGAATTGGGGAGAAGCTGTCCAGTCTTCCCATTTTTTTTAATGTAAGGAAGAGGCATGTCTTTGTCTAACAGAATGAGATTGGATCATTAGCTATCAAGATAGTTACGGTGCAGTTACTAGGAGAAACATGGATGTCCTAAGATGACCAGACAGGGTTTGAAAGTCACTCTTGGCCAGGCGTTGTGGGTCATACCTGTAATCCCAGCATTTTGGGAGGCTGAGACAGGAGGATTGTCTGTGCTCAGGAGTTTGAAACCAGCCTGGGCAACATAGTGAGACCCTGTGTCTACAAAGAAGAAAAAAATTGGCCAGATATGATGGCACCTGCCTGTGGTCCCAGCTACTTGGGATCTAAGATGGGAGGATCACTTGAGCCCAGGAGGTGGAGGCTACCATGAGCCATGATCACACCACTGCACTCCAGCCTGGGCAACAGAGTGAGACCCTGTCTCGAAAAGAAAAAAAGAAAAAGAACAACAAAAAAAATCATACCTTAAGGTGATAAAATGTGCTTGATTTTAGATGCTCTAGGTCAGAGGAAACTGGCAACATCCCCAAATGTAAGATACAGTAATAACAAATGGTATCACTTCTTCTCTCCATCCAGGGGACCAGAGCTTGGCCCCTCACAGGCCATTGGGGGCCAACGCCAAAGGCTGTGAGACTGTAAAAGTTCAGAAAACCCCTCAGTGGGGACTTGGTTTGTGATTGGTGACTGAGAGCAAAGTGGTTGGGTCGGGGTCTGAGGATATTTACCTTACCTTAAACCTCACCCACCCTAGCTCCCGTCCACAGTGAAGCTTGGTTCTGGACTTCTTTCCTAAATATTTGAGTAAATTACTACTTAAACCTTCCATAGGGATTGGACATAAGATTGTATCTAAAAATAAGACGGTCCCTTGGCAATCAGCCTGGGAACCTCTTGGCAGACCAGGAGGGGCCCAGCTCCAGAGTCGGGCAGGCGGATGATTTCTGTAATGTTCCACCCAGTAGAGCAGCTGGAAGCATCCTGTAAGAGATAGAAAACAGACGGGCTGAGAGCACGTTTTAGAAACATGGCAAAAACACACATATTTTAAAGGAAAATAAACCAGGCTGGGCACAGTGTCTCATGCCCGTAATCCCAGCACTTTGGGAGGCCGAGGTGGGCAATTAGCTTGAGCCCAGGAGTTCCAGACAAGCCTGGGAAGCATGGTGAAACTGTATCACTACAAAAAATAAAAAAAAAAGAAAGAAAAGAAAAGAAGATTAGTCATGCATGGTGGTGAGGGCCTGTGGTCTCAGCTACTTGGGAGGCTGAGGTGGGAGAATCACCTGAGCCCAGGAAGTTGAGGCTGCAGTGGGCTGGGATCGTACCACTGCACTCCATCCTGGACCACAGAATGAGACCTTGTCTCCAAAACAAAACAAAAACCCCTAGCAATCAGTTCTTCCTCAGTATCCTTCTCCCATGCCGCCTTCTCCCCGTGTCATTCCTATTCCTTCCCTTCTGCTGAGCACCATCGCTCCTCCCCGTCTTTCCTTCCCCTTTTTACCTGACAAACTGGTTTCTGTACTCTTGATAAAGTCATCCACTGGTGGCATGTGTGTTCCAAAAATCTACTGGACCAGCATTTCCCAAGTGTGTTTTTGCAAAACACTAAACTTGTTGACTAGGCATGGTGGCTCACCCCATGAGCACTTCCGGAGGTCAAGGTGGTAGGATCCCTTGAGCCCAGGAGTTCAAGACCAGCCTGGGCAACATAGTGAGACCCTGTCTCTACCAAGGGAAAAAGAAAGAAAGAAAGAAAGAATAGTGATTTGTTATGTTACGCCTATTTTGTTAAAAAAGGGAGGCAGTAGTCAAATAATTTGGCAAACCTCACATCCTGTACTATATCTTAAAGATTCACATGCCTGTTAACATGCAAAGGATTTTGGGGTGTACTTCAATCCCCTCTCTTTCCCTTATTCTCTCTCTGCCTGATTCCAATTTAGGACCCTTCATTTGATACCTGCAGGTGAGGGATGGGTCACAGCAGCTCTAACACCATGTAAATTACAGCCCCACAGTTCTCATGCTCACTTATTTCTCAGGTTCCTCTATTGGAGATGGGACCCTATGGGAACTGAATAGCTCAGCTTCAAAGTGTGTTTCAAAACCTTTTTTCCCCCCTTTTTCTCTTTTCTCACTAGTCTTAAGATGTAACCTTGAAGCTTACTGCAGAGACCGTTTTTGTTTTTCCCTCCTTAGTCTTAGGATGTAGCCTTGAAATGTACTTTATTTGAAATACCACATCTCTGCCTTTCTTACCATACACTCCCTTACACCATACACATGTATCTAACTGTACTTTTATCTAATTATGTGTTTACTTAGAATTTCCAGGGTCTAACCTTGAGATAAACCAGACATGGAGACACAGCTGCAAAATGCCAGAGGCTGCCTCAAGGCTGTTAGTCTACAACCCGGCCATTGTTCAGAGGACACCAGCTCACGCTGACAGCCACCAGGGAAACAAGAGACACAGACCTTGAATTCAGGCCTGCTCTTGCACACCTCCCATTCCCATTCTGCTTTTTAAGCCCACTCCCCAGCCTAAAGTTGGGAATGGTCTTTTAAAGGCATGAGCCTGGCTATTTTCCAACTGCTAGCATTTGAATAAAGTTGGTTTCGTTTCACCACATCTCACTTTCCTGCTTTCGACATCTGAGTGGCCAGCAGTGGGACTTGAACCGGTTACACTGCATCTGAAGCACCCTGGGCTGCCCTCATCACTACTTTTGGAACTCATGTTTTGCAGGCACTGACAGACAGCCCGAGTAAATGAACCTGAAATTACGTTTTTTTCTTCCGTTTTGTCCTCCATTCCCCTCTCCATTATATGAACGATATAGTCATAGAAGTTGCCTCTAAAATCCAGAAAACGTAGTTCCAGCCTAGCAAAGTCACCCAGTTATATGATTAAGATGATAATGATGGAGGAAGTTTGTAAAGGGCTTTGAAGATCAGACTGAGATTCAGATATTCCTAGAGAGTGGAGGCTAGTAACCCCCTTTACCTTGTAGCTATTCGCATTCACTGATTTGCAACAGAATTAAGGAAACCTCTGGATAAAACACTTGAACACTGTCCACGATTAAGGTTAAGACATATACAGACGTATCTGATTGACTAGGAGCCCCAGGTGGAAGCTAGTTGTTTGGAGAATGAAATGGTCAGTTTGAAGAATCTGGTGCAGGGAATAGAATAGTGAGTGGACACAAAGATGAGCATGTAACTGGGAGAGGTGGCTCATGCCTGTAATCCCAGCACTTTGGGAAGCTGAGGTGGGAGGATCACTTAAGGTCAGGAGTTCGAGACCAGCCTGGCTAACATGGTGAAATTCCGTCTCTACTAAAAACATAAAGATTAGACAGGCATGGTGATGGGTGCCTGCAATCCCAGCTACTCGGGAGGCTGAGGCAGGAGAATTGTTTGATCCTGGGAGGCAGATGTTGCAGTGAGCCGAGATCATGCCACTGCACTCCAGCCTGGGCGACAGAGCAAGACTCCATCTCAGAAAAATAAATAAATAAATAAAATAAAAATAAACAAAGATGAACATGTTTGTCTTGAAGTCAGAATGACTGGATTCAAACCCCACCTTTACTGCTTACCACATATGTGACCCTGGGCCTATACCTTAGTCTTTCTAAACCTTCTTTCCCTCATGTGGAAAATCAATTCAGTTATAATTCCTACTTCCTGGGGATATCTGAGGATAAAATCAGCTGAGCTGATATAAGTACTCAGCAAATGCTTGTGTTATCAGCAACAAGTCTTTACCATCAGTGATTAGTGAGCAGTCTGGATAGGGTGGATGTCTACACTGGAACTTCTGCTTCATTTGTGTAATCTGGGGAGAAAATGCCTATGTGTGTGAGGTGAAGGTTCTGAGACCTATTGATGCTCAAGGATCCTTTCTGTAGACTTCTCTCCTGCCACCTCTATTTCCACCCCAATTTCAGAGAATACACTACTGCCATCACCACATTCTAGACAAACAACATAGGTAATACTTGGGTGTGTCGATTTCACAAGAGTAATGACATGGATTTCAACGAGCAAGATGCAAATGGTCTAGTATTCAGGCTTTGGCAATGTTGGTGGTGAGGGCAAGGATAATGCCTCTAAATGAAGATAGTTTAATGCCTTCATTTAATGCCTTTAAATGAAGATAGTTTAAAACAGTGTTTCCCACACTCTTTTGATAAGACTTATCTGAAGTACTTGCTAAAACCCTAACTATCAGGCCTCATTCCCAGCTCACTGCCTCAGGATTACCAAGGGCCTGACAGCTGTCATTTAACAAGCACCCAGGTGCTCTGCCCCTTCTCATAGGAAGCCTTGGGAAGTATTGTTTTCAAAGACCAGTGGATTAGTAGCCCAAAAACTTGCCAGCAGTTGCCTGCTCTTGTCATCTTCCTGGCTCTGGAAGAGCACCTGATACTCGCCATCAGAAACTAAATGGTTTTTAAAGGACAAAAATGATCTCAGTATCATTCTACAGCCTTTTCTTTCTTTTTTTTTTTTTTGCTCAGTGTGTTACTGAAAAAAGTATCATGTGCCAAGTACTGTGATTTTTTTTCTTATTCCATATATTTATTTATATGAAATATAAATAAATTATACATATTAATATGTAAAATACTCATTAAATAAATAAGCAACTACAGTCTAGAACTTTTCTGCAGGTGCATTGGAGAACTTGATCATAAAATGTAGCTAAGATCACCTTAGCACATTCTTGAACATTCTTTGTATTACCAGGTGGAAAGCTTTTCATTTAAGAAACTCCTCTGGTGCAGTAGTTCTCAAATTTAGTGGCCTGACAATCATCTGAAAGGCTTGTTAAAACACTGATTGTTAGGCCCCAACCCAGGGTTTCTGATTCAGGCCCAAAGGGTCAAGTTTTGCATTTCTACCAAGTTCTGGGATGATACTGATGCTCCTAGTCTGGAAACTACACTGCTCTAGGGAATCATTTTTGTGAATCAAATAATCCTTTGCACAGTGAATAATCAATTCCTAACTTATCTGTTGGTCATATGTCAAGTTCACTGAAGCAAAGTATAATGTACTGGCTGGATATGTGTGAATGGTGATTTTTTGAATGTACAGAAGGTCAAAAGTAAGGATTTCAGGGAGGCAGCCTGCTTTCTGGTTCCTTCCTCCAAGCTATTCTGGTGCTCCTTTTCAGAATTATTTAACACTCATTCATTCATTTACTTAAATACTGAGACTATGTGCCAAGAGCCATGCAAGGTTCTAGAATACAGTCAGCCTGAGCATTTGAAAAGAAAACATTTCCCTTAAGAAAGCTGTAGAATGAGGCCTGGTGCAGTGGCTTACACCATAATTCCAGTACTTTGGGAGGCCGAAGCGAGTGGATCACTTGAGGTCAGGTGTTCGAGACCAGCCTGGTGAACCCTGTCTCTACTAAAAATACAAAAATTAGCTACTTGGGAGGCTGAGGCAGGAGAATTGCTTAAACTGGGAGGTGGAGGTTGCAGTGAACCACGATTGTGGCACTGCATTCCTGGGTGACAGAGCGAGACTCTGACTCAAAAAACAAACAAACAAAACATAAATTAGTTGGGAGTGGTAGTGGGCACCTTTAGTTCCAGCTACTTGGGAGGCTGAGGCAGGAGAATCGCTGGAACCCAGAAGGCGGAGAGTGCAGTGAGCCAAGATCATACCACTGCATTCCAGCCTGGACGATAGTGCAAGATTTCATCATAAATGAATGAATGAATGAATGAATGAATGAATGTTCTTTACTGCTGTGGTCCTGACTCAGATACAAGCAGTGAGCTTTAGTTGGTTGGTTATTGTCTCCTTTTTTTTTTCCCCTGAGTGTCTGGGTTTTAGTGACAGGAGATGCAGGTACATGGCAGAATATTGAGACATCTATGCCAGACTACTAATACATGTGTAATACTATACTCAACGAAGGTTAAGAGTAATTCATTTAGTGTTTATCTACCCAGAAATAAAGTAAGACCACCTCAATGAGAACAAACAGGTGCTGTTTATTCAGAGCTTGTTATAGCAAGAGATTCTGCCACCGTACCTTGTGTTTGGCAGACTCAGAGCCAGGCAGGGGAGTGCGGAAGCTTCAGAATGAAAAAAAAAAGGGAAAGTTTCCGGTATGCTTAGATTGTAGGTCGTTGGCAAGCGGAAAATGGAGGCAGGCTAACTATAAGCAAGGCATCCTATGTGATTAGTTTACATGTGTTTGGCTGGTTGATCCTGATTTGGAAGTGGAGCAAAAAATTGGGAAGCTGATAGTCACTGACCAAGTCCTGATGCTCTAGGCCAGTTGCTGCATGGGCTGTGGGTTGGCCCCCGGGACTGGTTGCTGTTAAGGTTGTGGGCTAGAGTTCTACTGTCATATAGGTCTGTTCATTGTCTCACTAGCCATGAACGCAAGACAACAACTTAACGAGTAGGGCAAGTTTATTCATTTATTTAACACTTACGGCCTTTTGCCAACTTGTCCAAAAATCAGAAATTAAAATGAGAGCGGAAACTAGTCAATCTGTGGGTCAAAGTTTCCCCTCCCCCTATCTGATTAGTCAATGTTGGCAGGGATGTGTTCATCACATTAATGTTACCAATGCGCTTTTGGTGGACTGGAAATGCCCGCTGATGCTGAAACTTCTTGGCTAGTTATCAAATAGCTTTAGGGCAGATACTCATGATGAGTCTGTGCTAATCTTTTTTTTTACAAGATGGAGTCTCACTCTATCGCCCAGGCTGGAGGGCAGTGGTGCAATCTCGGCTCATTGCAACCTCTGCCTCCCAGGTTCAAGCAATTCTCCTGCCTCAGCCTCTCGAGTAGCTGGAATTACAAGTGTGTGCCTCCATGCCTGACTAATTTTTGTATTTTTAGTGGAGACGGGGTTTCATCCTTTTAGCCAGGCTGTTCTCGAACTCCTGACCTCGTGATCCGCCCACCTCAGACTCCCAAAGTGTCGGGATTACAAGCATGAGTCACGGCACCTGGCCGAATCTGTGCTAATCTGACGTTAGCCTTCAGAGCTGGGAATGCGGCCCTGACTCCAGCTACACACTCCTGTGGAGTTAGGGGGATATATTTATGTGTTTACAGTTACTTTCACGTATAGTTGTTGCCACTTCCAGGAATATTCCTTCCCCTATGAGGCAAACTCATCTAGCTTTGTAACATTGTTGCAGGTTAGCTCAGCTAAAGACAGGGTCCTTGTCCCCACAGCTACAGAAGTTTAGGCTTGCAGACGGTTTGAAGGGTGAATAAAGCAGGGTTTTATTGGTTGAAAAGGAAAAAAAAGTGGTGGAACAGGGACTCTCAGCAAAGCCACCGTCCCTGCCGGTGCATTTCCGCATTTCCCACCTCGCGTTTGAATCCCAGGTTCACGTAGGAAAAGGAGGGGCCAGGCTTCTGTGGCTCCACCCCAGTGCGCGTTCCCAGGGCCGGCTGGTTGGAGTTTTGCCAGGGACCCCCTCCCACCTGGCTGTCTCAACAGGAAAGTGTGATATATCTTGATTAACAATATGAATATATCCCGTGGGGCCTGGCACCTGAGGTATATAGGTTGGGGAGGAGAAACTGTTTGAAATGTACTGAGTCAGAAACTATGAAAAGTCTTCTACTTATCACATACTAAAATTATAAGCTAAGGATTTGGTTCTCTTGATTGAGCTTTAGTCAAATAGAAACGTACTCAATATGTCAGAGGCATTCGAACCAAAGCGAGTCCATCTTGAATAGGGGCTAAGTAAAATGAGGCTGCCACCCGCTGGGCTGCATTCCCAGGAGATTAGGCATTCTTAGTCATGGGATGAGGTAGGCTGACACAAGATGCAGGTCCCGAAGACTCGGATGATAAAACGGCAGCAGTAAAGAAACCTGCCAAACCCACCCAAACCAAGACGGCAATGAAAGTGACCTCTGGTTGTCCTCCCTGTTCATTATTTGCTAATTATAATATATTAGCATGCTAAAAGACACTCCCACCTGTGCCATGACCATTTACAAATGCAATGGCAATGTCAGGAAGTTACTCTATATTGTCTAAAAAGGGGAGGAACCCTCAGTTCTAGGAACTCCCCACCCCAATCCTGGAAAACTCATGAATAATCCACCCTATGTTTAGCATATAATCAAGAAACAACCACAACTATACTCAGGCAAGCAGTCCAGGCCACTGTTCTGACTATGGAGTGGCCATTTATTTTTCCCCCACTCCCTGCTGGAGTGGCCGTTCTTTCATTTCTTTATGTCTTTAATAAACTTGCTTTCATTTTACTCTGTGGAATTGCCTTGAATTCTTTCTTCAAAGAGGTCTCAGAACCCTGTCTTGGGGTCTGGATCGGGACCCCTTTCAGATAATAAATATACAGTGTATACAACAACAAATGTCTCATATTTTAAAAAACAGAAATCATGCAAACTAGAATTTATAAGAATTCTGTTTGTAGAAGACAAACTTTGATAGCAATTAGAATATATTAGAAATATTAACTTTTTTCTTTTCTCTCTCCCTCAAATATTTTTTGTATCTAATTTCAAAATAATAATTTACATATTGTTTCCTTTCATACCTAGTCCCACAGATATATTCTTTTCCTTAATAGGAGACCTCTAATTTTATAAGCTTTAAGACCCACAGTATTTGTTTTTCAACAAAATGATTGTCAAAAGATAATTGTTATTGTCCCTGAAGCTTGTTTTAATCCTTACTGAGAGTTTTCTTTCTTCTTACTCAAATATATATCTTTGAAATTTCCCAGAGTTAATTCTTCCATTTATTTATCACCACTCTCCCAAGTTATATTTTCATCTGGGTGGGAAATTTCAGTAAGTGTTATTTTATGGCTTAATGTGTAGTGTCAATTATTATTTTTTCATTAAGCCCTTTACATATATAAGTGTTTTAGTCTGTTTGCGCTGCTATACCAAAATATTGGATGCTGAGTAATTTATAAAGAACCAAAATTTATTTCTCACAGTTCTGGAGGCTGGGAAGTCCAAGATCAAGGCATTGGCAGGTTCTGTGTCTAGTGATGGGCATGGTCTCTGATTCCAAGATCCTGCCTTGTTGCTGCATATTCCAGAGGGGAGGACTGCTGTAGCTTCATGGCTGAAGGCAGAAGGGCAAGACAGCCAAACACTGAACACTTCATGAAGTTTCTTATAAGGACCTTAATCCCATTTATGAGGGAGGAGCCTCAGGACCTAATCACCTCTTAAAGGCCCCACCTTTTTTTTTTTTTTTTTTGAGATGGAGTCTTGCTCTGTCGCCCAGCCTGGAGTGCAGTGGCGCAATCTTGGCTCACTGCAACCTCTGCCTCCTGGGTTCAAGCAATTCTCCTGCCTCAGCCTCCCAAGTAGCTGGGACTACATGCGTGCACCACCATGCCTGGCTAATTTTTGTATTTCTAGTAGAGACGGGGGTTTCACCATATTGGCCAGGCTGGTTTTGAACTCCTGACCTTGTGATCCACCCACCTTGGCCTTCCAAAGTGCTGGGATTACAGGTGTGAGCCACTGGGCCCGGCCAGCCCCACCTTTTAATACTATGACATTGGCAATTAAGTTTCTGCATCTGAATTTTCGAGAGAACACATTCAAACTATAGCAGTTGGTAATGCATAAAATTAATTCGTAAAGGATGACCTGAGTTTGTTGAAGTACCTTTGACAACTGGCTTTAGTGTAATAAATTCTCAGCTTTATAATCACAGAAGCAGGGATAGAAAAAGAACAATAGGTTAGCTACAGTTTGTAACTACAATGTCAGCACTTTGGGAGGCTGAGACAGGAGGATGGCTTGAGTACAGGAATTCAAGACCAGCCTGGGCAACATAGTGAGGTGCTGTCTCAAAACAAAACAAAACAAAACCCACAAAAAACGAAAAACAAAACAAATAACCTCCCCCCGCACAATATTAACAAGTCCAACATACTCATAAAAAGAGAGAAGGCAAAATACAAACCTGCTTCCAATACCAAAGGAAAACCACAGCCCTCAATTCCTCTTTTAGCTTGTTTTCATGGCTGACCTTAAACTAGTTTTGCTGTTTTTTCAATTCATTCCTCTCTTTACATTCTCCCCAGATATGAGACTGTGGTTTTGTTGGGTCTGAAGGGCCTTCATGGATCAGGAAATGAAAGGATGGCAATGATTTAATACTTTTTATCTAGTCAAAGTTCCAACATGTAGGTCATGATTTGAAACTTTAATTGGAGTAATGTTTTGGAAGATTTTTGTAAATCACAAGTGTTGTACAAACATGACTTTGTTGACGTTCCTGTTCTTATAAAGCAGGATTGGTTACTTTGTATCAGAAGAGATTTAGCCTTGTAATGAAAAAATCTTGGGTTTAAAATTAAAGATAACATTAAAACTCAAGTGTAACATTAAAGATAATTTTCTAGGCTTTGGCAGTAACGGTTATGATCTACTGTAGTATGGGGGAAGGGAAGAAGATTGGAAATAACTGCATGTTCTTATTTAATCATAATTTCGTTCCTTCCAGTTTCTTTGCAGCTAACTCCACCGGCAGATAATTAAATAATGTTGATTATAGCTACACAAATGTACTTTAGTATGTATAATTTAAGTTAAAAACAGTAGTATAAAGATGACTGCCCAGGAGTGGTGGCTCATGCCTGTAATCACAGCACTTTGGAAGGCTGAAGTGGGCGGATTACTTGAGGTCAGGAGTTCAATACTAGCCTGACCAACATGGTGAAACGACGTATCTACTAAAAATACAAAAAATTAACTGGGTGTGGTGGCAGGTGCCTGTAATCCCAGCTAGCTATTCAGGAGGCTGAGACAGGAGAATTGCGTAAACCCGGAGGCAGAGGTTGCAGTGAGCTGAGATTGCACCATTACACCCCAGCCTGTGAGAGAGCAAGACTCCATCTAAAAAAAAAAAAAAAAAAAAAAAAATTGGCTGGGTATGGTGGTGCACGCTTGTAGTCCCAGCTACTTGGGAGGCTGAGGTGGGAGAATTGCTTGAATGGGGAGGTGGAGGTTGCAGTGAGCCAAGATTGTGCCACTGTACTCCAGGCTGGGCTACAGAGGGATACTCTGTCTAAAAAAAAAATAAAAAAATAAAGATATACAAAGAAGGAAAGAGTCACACTAAGGAAAAAAGCAAAGTATGAAAAGGAACCCCAAAATAATAGTCAGGCTTTCTACATTTGAGGAAATATGTCTATCTAGCAATTAAAACAAAATTGATTAAAATAGTTAATTACAGACATAGTGAGATAATACTAAAATGCCCAGTGCCTTTCTTTTCTTTCTTTTGAGACACGGTCTCGCTGTGTCACCCATGCTGGAGTGCAGTGGCACAAGCTTGGCTCACTGCAACCTTTACCTCCTGGGTTCAAGTGATTCTCCTGCTGCAGCCTCCCAAGTAGCGGGTACTACAGGCACCTGTCACCACGCCCAGCTAATTTCTGTATTTTTAAGTAGAGACTGGGTTTTGCCATGTTGGCTAGGCTGGTTTTGAACTCTTGGCCTTAAATGCTCTGCCTGCTTGTAGTACCAGCTACTTGGGATGCTGAGGCATGAGAATAGCTTGAACCCAGAGGCAGAGGCTGCAGTGAGCCAAGAACATGCCACTGCACTTTAGCCTGAGCGACAGAATGAGATCGTCTAAAAAAAAAAAAAAAAAAAAAAAAATCAGTGCGAATCAGAAATTTTGATGAAATTAATTAAAGGTATGATTGAGATTTGCTTTGGAGAATGTTTGAAAGGTCTGAGGTTATCTGTGTTCAGTAATATTAAGTTCTAGGTAAACAAAATGTATACTTTTGAAAATAGAGGATACATTTTCAAATATCGAATATACTCTGGTTAAAAAAATCCCATTTTAGATTGGTCAGGGGTTTTTTCAAACTGCTATTTCAATTTGGTTCAAGGCACTCTTAGGCATGACCCCAAAGCTGCAGTGAAAATATTCCTGCAGAAAGAAAGAAGGGAAGTATTATTCATCAATAACTTACATTGCTGCAAGTTTACAAAACTGATGTATTATCTTTACATAAATGCTGAGTAAAACATAATAGGAGTAATAAAAAAGTTCAACATTATTAAAACCCAGGAAGACTTAATAATATATTCAACAAACAAAAGGAACTTCAGGATCCCGCTCACTTTAGCTGAGACAAGTCTGTGACTACTTTTCTGCAGCAAGGCAAATTGTTCACTCTGGGTATATCAGCTTTGGGTGATCACAATGCTATGTTGATTTCATAGTTCAATCTTCCCTTCATTTCTTGGTTTTATTTTTTCACCTATAATATAGTTTGGAAACATTGTGCAGGAAGAAAGGGAGGGGGAAATGCATAGAAATGAATTTCAGAAATTTCCTTTCAAAGTGAGCAGATAGGAAATTTGAGGGGAAGAGAGAATACATATGAATACAATCTATTATGAAAGAAAGTATTAGTGATTACGATAGATACTTGTTTTGAAGACATGAAATAAAAGACAATGAGCAACCCCAGATTTGTCCTCCAACAATGGAAGGAATAATAAAATGCATTTAGTTAACAGAGTATAAAGTATTAAAATGAGTCTTCAAAATATGGTGTAATATTTAGTATTTGCATATTACATACTTTCTCCTTTGAAAAGCATTTTCACAATCAGTCCTTCTAATGTCTACAACTAGGTGGGCTATCCTTTTGAAACAGGGAGGGGCAATGGACCTGGGACAGACCGTAGCCACAGCTGCCGCTGGACCGGGGGGCCGTTCCAAGATCTGGGCATAAGCCCAGTACCCAACTCAACTGACACCAGCCTCTAGGGTCCCTCAGCCAGGGGAGGGAGGGGCTCTGGAGAGCGACTGCTCCCGTCACCGTCCAGCCTGAAACGCAGGTTCTTGTCCACAGCCTGCGTTTCAGAATGGGCAGAATGCCAACCACTGTACGAAATGTTAAGGTCCTGGGCGATGCAGGGTCAAGGGCACACTGGCTTTGTGGCGTCAAAATGATATGGGTTTGACTCCTCAGGCATTCTCTAACTGTGAGGGACCTTGGGCAGTCTCTCTGAGCCTCAATTTTCTCATTTGTAGAGCGGACACACTTTGCTTTATTCCATGGGGTTTACTGACGATTAAATGACACAAAGCAATAAAGGTCTCAGCCTACTGCCTGGGTTGGTGGCTATAATTAGCAGCTCTGGAATGGGTAGGGCGCCATCTGTAAGGGCTTGGGGAAATCCTCATCTGCAAAATGGGCACAGGGTAGATTCCAATCTTTTAATAGTAAACATCGCTTTGCAAACGCAACTACAACCCCCATCTCCCCACCCCCTATTCTAAGTGACACTTGTTTCCAAAATACGGGGACTGGAGGAGCGGATCCAGAACCTAAGGCAACACGTTAAACTAGGGCAATTAATCGAGAGGGCAGGACAGCTAGGGTAGAGATGGAAGAGAGGAGAGGGCAAGCAAGTCAGCTCTTCTCTGAATAGCTGGGACCCCAGTCACAGCCAGAACTGCCCGCGGCCGCTGCTACGCCGGGAAGCCTTCGCTGGGATCCTACAGGCCGACGCCCGGAATCTGGCTTGGGGCGCGGGTAAACTGAGCGGTGGAGGAAGGCGGCGGGGCCAGGGGCGGGGCCCTAGGGGAGGAGTTAGGGGCGTGGCTTTGTTTTGGGGGCGTGGCTAAGGGCGAGACCTCTCCGAGTTCCAGCGTTGCGCTCGCCACGTCTCCCTTAGCGAGCGTGTGGGGGACAGGCAAGGGGAGGGAAAACTGAGCTGGGCGAGAACTATCTCCTCTCGCGAGACCTGCCGACGGCAGCGGCGGCGGCGGTAGCGGCGTGTAGGGGAGAGTAGCGTGGGGGCAAGGAGGGGAGGCGGCGGCGGCCGCGGCGTCCAAGCTACGCCACTCGGGCCGGGGCGTTGGGAGCGGGAGTGCAGAGCGTGGTCGTGGCGGCGGCGGTGAGAAGAGCGAGGAGGAGGAGGGGGTGCCATGGCCGGGCAGCAGTTCCAGTACGATGACAGTGGGAACACCTTCTTCTACTTCCTCACCTCCTTCGTGGGGCTCATCGTGATCCCGGCCACATACTACCTCTGGCCCCGAGACCAGAATGCCGGTGAGTCCCGCCGGCCGCTGCCCGCCTACCAACGCAGGCCCAGCCAGCACCCCCGGGCCCTGCGGCGCCCGCCCGCCCGGCCCAGCCCGCGGCGTCCGAGGTGACACGGACCGCACAGCCCGGCCTGTGTCCAGCATCCGCCACTGGCGGGGTCAGGGACCCCGGCGTTTCCCTCGGCGCTTCTCCACCTCCCTTTATTGTCCTCAGGAGTTTTGCTCGCTCCATCTTCTCCATTGTTCTGGACGCTCCTTGCAACCTCCTCCTGCCTCTTTGTCTTCTCTGCCTCTGCTTTTATTGGGGATTTTTCTTTATGGAGGGAGCGGGATGGGATGGGGAGGATGGGGACTTGGGAGGTGAGCAGAGAGTTGGCCAAGGAAGAGACCGAACGTGCGGGCGCAACTCTCAGTCCCTCCAGTTCGCGGCCCTACTCCCCCGACTCCCGTTTTCCTGTTGCAGCTGCTCCCACAGATGTTTTAGGGCATCTTTGAGCCGGGTGGCATGCTTAGGACTCCAGCTGAGCTCTCCACCGCCCACCCCCGTCACTTCCTCCCGTTGCTTTTTCATTTGTTCACTCACTGTGGGGGTTGGAAGCAATGCCGTTATTCCTCTTAGCAAAAATAGGCCTTTTTTCTATTTCCCTTTCTTCGGAGTTTCCTGTTTGTGACGGAAAAAGTGCAAGTATGAAGGATTAAGTCTCGTTTAATTAATCTTTTAGGGAATTTTGAGGTAGTGGGTCCATTTGCTTTTGGTTTTCAATCTTTTCACATTAAACAACATCGAATTAAAGCACAGAATAACAGATTCTTTTCATATTTCACTTTAAGTTTGGGTAATGTTTGCATCCATTTGTTGCACTCTGCTAGGACATATGGCAGATGATATTCTTAAAGCTGATGTAACTGCGAGGGCCTAATGGGTTATTTATGGTAGTGTTAACAGTAAGGAGTAGGTTTTGAGTATTAACAACTTAGGGAAAGCTTTCTGTTTCACAAGAGCAATGTTAGCTTGCTTAAAAATCTTCTCTGGAGGTCTAGTTGTCCATGTTATATACTCTGGGGCAGTTGTTAACAGTGAAGCA